TTCATTAACACCTAATTTGCTTGACTGATTTTGTATTACTTAACTCCAATTACCAATCTTCACCTGTTTAGTTAAAATAACCATAACCAATTGTATTTTTGTTTGACAAACTTACTGTACACATACATACAAAATACCACACATATATATTTGCGACTGTACAGCTAAGAAAATGAATTCGCCGAAAAGAGACTCTTCGCTGACTGACGTGTTTTGTTTTCATTAATGGCTGAATGGGGATTATCCATGAATTCTATACTTAAACAAATAAATACCTTCACCCTGTACTTTAAAACAAAATTTCTGTCTTCACATGTGTGCGTCGGGGGCACAGTGGTTAGGATTCTCGTCGACCATGCAAATGGTCCATGGTTCGATCCCCTACCGACGCACACCTGGTATCTATGGTCGGCCCGCGAAATTCAGGCTACCGATATCCATGCTGAAAATTTCATACCTGTACCAAAAAATACGACGTGGAATCAAGCTGTAATCAAAAATAAAAAAATAAATAAAAATTTTAAAAACTTACATCGTGAAAAAGCTGCTTCAATTTTACTTGAACTATGCGTATCTTTAGCTGCTGGAGTTTGTAAGCCAATTTCATAGGGAAATACACGACCACGATTGAGCCATTGATATTCTTCAGAGGCAAGAAAATGCACTGGAAATGAACCTTCTGGATGTGACATATTCAAGATATTGATAGGAGCATTTCGCGCGTGGATTATTTCACACGGCCACCAACGAAAACGTGCTATTTTTGCCCAAATAATTTGAGCATATCTTGGGAATACACCCTGTCTAAAAGGAAAAGAACATTAACATTGCCAGCTCATACGAATGTCTCAGTAGCGGGATACTCTTCAACTACTCTCCAGTGTTCTAAGAGTTCTATTCCCGAATGATGCAATCACTAAACCACGTGCGCCTAACTAGTAGTGAGCCCAATAAAAAAAGATTAGGGTAAGGTGTGAGGCTAGAGAGAGTACACGCCATAAAAACAACGCCACCAGATCACAATAATATCACATCTACCAAAATGTGACTAAACAAAGGTGTAGTAAACAACCACCAACAGTTCAATATTAGACCACCTGGTCCAAAGCTAGCCAGCATTAAAGAATCCTTCTCTATCATCATCTACCAGATACCAAATAAATTGCCAAAAACATCCAAGTATCGCATACTCCAAACAGTAGAGGATACCGTGATTCTCCTGAAAAAACCGGTGCCCTGTGAGCGGAAGAAGCAAGTCCAGCGAGCAACTGACTACTACTGCCCTGACTGGCCTTCAGTAGAGACTATAAATTTATGAATTTGTATTATTATCTTTCCTAATTTCACTGTATGATATTCAGTGTGTGTAGTGTTATGTGTGCTTTTGGAAGTCTGTGGGCGGTTGTTACCTCCCTGTTGCCAACACTATGGAAGTTGCTTGATTCATCGGGTACTTGAAACAGAGAGAGCGTTAAGTGTTGCGTGACTTCTGAGCCCAGGGGACAACTGTTTGAGACCAACCGCTCACACACGGCCTGTATGAACTGGTTTGTGGCATTGGTTCCGTATTAGTAAACTTACCGTTTGTTACGGACCACCGTAGGTGGGGTGAGTCGGAATGTACAATTTTTGGGGTCGACCTTTTCTAACCCCTTCTCTCCAGAGTGAAGAGACAACATAGCTGGCTGGCATGCTGGTCATCTGAGGGAAACACCTTACTGCAGCTGTTACACCCCTGTTCCCCAGCAGTACGACTTCGCCCACAGACCCTCCCCAACATAGTGTAAGAAAGATTCTTACACAATTCCGGTAACTGCTTTTAGTTTAATCACTGTCCTAACAACCTTCCTGGCATGGTAGGACCTGCAGGAACATTGGTTCCAGCCAGTGTAGCTTTTTGGGTCATCGCGATTTGCAAGCCAGGTGACCGTCACATCAAGGTAGTAACTATCGGTTAGGTCAGTGGGTAGTGTTATGTTGATGTTGTAGAACTGTAATCCATTGATGCTGTTATTATTGATTCGATGTTATTTGAACAACATTAATGTTGTTAATGACACCAATTCATTCATTTACTATTATGTATATATAACTGTAGAACCTAATGATGAAGAGGTTAACGAAAAGAACATTCGTTTTGATGTGGTTGTGTTCTCTGAGCTGGATATTTGATTTGCGAAGCTTTCATCGCCCTACTAGGCGACATCTTCAGCGCATACTTCAATTTGAAGTGGAGTATAAGTTTGGGAATCATCGGCAGTACGCACCAATTGACGGGGTTCGAACACAGGAGCTACCGGTTACGAGGCGATTTTGTAAACCATGATGCGCCTCTGGGGCGAGATCTAAAGGCCTATAAATTCCAGCTTCTGCCATCGAATATGCATATGAAAGGTTAGACAGTATGATGAGAATTACAGAGCTATGTCACAGGCTCACCACCTCTCTCCCCAGTTTTCTCATCCAGTCAGTACCTGGGCTAGCGAACAGCGAATAATACGGGACCAATGGGATGACACTCGTAGCACAAATCTATGTCACCGAAGCCGGTGTTTCAAAATGACGATACTCAATGAAAGGTGATCTCCACCACAGTGTCGAGATACACGCTGCCAGACCTCAGAAAGAATTACTTATACAGTGATCTGTTCACGTATACAAGCAATTCTGCAGAGGAAGCAGTGATAGAATATGCAACTTGGAGAGGTTAGGTTTCATAGGCGTTGTAGGCGAGGTAGACTGACAGCACCCAAGCGTTGAAGACCCGATCTTTGACAACCAGACTGACATCACGACGGCCCCAGACAGGTAATATAATAATAATAATAATAATAATAATCACTTTATTCCACAACAATAAAAATTTACAGCATGGAATTTTCAGCGTTTCTTTTACATATTGCAATGGTTTAGCTCTGTCTATAATTATATAAATATATAAAATGTTAAAATATTGATAGTTAATAGGAAAAATAATAAAAAAATAAATAAAAATAAAAAACCCAACAAAATCATACCATTACTAGGTCATAGTGAATAATAAATAAATAATATAACAAATAACACTTGCATTAATATGCATCATTTCATTTTATAGTTTAGTTACTGATTCAAAAGTTGTAAAAGTTCTTTTCTGATATTTGTCTCTTCACACAATACTCGTGCCAAATATGGAACGGTCGAATTTTTATATTTTGTAGTACGAGCATAAATGTTTATAAAATTTCTTCTGGTCTTACCCGAAGAGATACAAGGAAACAATTGTGAATAAAGAGGATGTTCACTATCAGATAAGATAACTTTAGCTAAGTGTTTACAAGAATTCATATGCCTATTGACAACAGTGTCATTTAGTTCAGTCAAAGGGATAGCACTGACCCTACTTACAGCCCTCAATGTTCTTCGTAGTATTATATGATCTTTCTTGAGTAGCCCAGGGAAGAATAATGGAGAACAATAAAGAATGATGGGCAAAACACATGAATTAATAAATTGTATGATAAGAGATTGAGTTATACCTGAGTGTCTCAACTTCTTTATGTAATAAGTCAGACGGAAAACTTTCTTAGAAACTATAAGAATATGAGACGACCAGCAAAGATTTGACGAGAAACTAATGCCAAGATAAGAAACACTTGACTTACTCTCAATCATGGTACCATCAATATTACAACAATCATGAGATTGAATCAATCCATGCATGTCTTTTTCACTTCTCAAGCTGAAATCAACAGTGTTACATTTAGTTGGATTTAGTTTAAGACCATTTGAGCCAGACCAATCCTTAACTTCAGCTAAGAAGCCATTCATATAGGAACAATCCGATGTGGAAACTACAGGGACAGAAACGGTCAGGTCATCAGCATACTTAATGAAGTTAACTTTGGGTGAGTTCGGAAGGTCATGCAGAAAGAAAGAGAAAAGAAATGGAGAAAGTACTGCACCTTGAGGCACACCACTTTCAGTTAGCTGGGAAGTGGAGCGCTTTCCAGCCAAAACAGTATGCTGTTTCCTATCCTTAAAATAAGAAGACAGCCATCTAGTTGCCCAGGACTCTGTTTGTGCTGAAATCATCTTTCCTAATAAAAGTGTCCTAGGAACAGAGTCGAAAGCTGCAGTATAGTCTAAGAAAGCTGTTCGAACGAACTTAGCGCCCTTATCAAGGCAGGAAACAATATTGTGGTGTAGTACAATGGCTGCATCTAATGTACTTCTTCCACACTTATAAGCAAACTGCTTAGGGTCACTAAAAGCTTTTAAAGAAGGTTTAAGAATATTCAAAAGAAGTTTCTCCATAGTTTTCAAAAAAGGAGATGTTATAGCGACTGGTCTAAATTTTATACCTGCTCCAGAAGATGATTTCTGTACAGGTACAACCTTGATTTCTTTCCAGTCAGCAGGTACCGTTTCCCTCTTAAATGATGCGTTAAAGATTTGAGTAAGAGGATGACACAAGATGTCTGCACACTTTTGGAGAAGAATGCTTGGTACACCATCTGGACCAAGGCTGTGTGTTGGATTTAATGACTTCAAACATAATAGTACATCCTTTTCTTCAAAACCCTGAAAATGACCATTTTCTTGACTAGGTACATCAGGTACAACCATATTAATTTGTTTCTTGATAAATGATTTGTTTAAAGCATTTACATCAGAATAAGCATCAACGGACATTTGTTTTTTACTTGTTAGTTTATTGAAAAGTTTCCAAATGTTTGAAGGATTTTTACATGATAAAAATTTTTCATTATATAGTCTGTTCAACCTTTCTATTTCAATTTTTATAAGGGTGTTTATTTTACGGACACCAGTATTATCACAATTCTTATACAACTTCTCTTTTTGTCTTCTAAGTTTTTTCAGTTGCAAAGAAGAGATTCTGTCAAATCTCGAAAACAGTGTTTCATAAGGACAGCAAATATCCAAACAAAACTTCAGATAATCGGTTATATTAGAGACAGTAGCATCCAACTTATCGTCAGTAAACAGTTCCCAGTTGGTATCATGCAACATGCTTCTTAATGCTAGAATGTTGTCATGGGAATATGAACGTTCATGTATCTTCTTTGTTAAATGACTAAACAATTTTCGTTGTGACTTGCCGTACACTTTCGGTAAAATACGAATAATGCAGTGGTCAGAATTTAGCAAAGGAGCTCTCCTTCGGGTTTCATATACATCACGGTCATTTATGAAAACCAGGTCTAGTGATTTGTCCAGACGTGTATTAAACTTGACTAGATTCTCATGACCAAGCGAAGTAAGAAAGCTGTGATCACATAAATTAAAATCACCACAGACTATAGACAACGAGTTTCCGAATGCAGGAGCAGCGAATTCAGTAAACTCATCTGCAAACATAACTATATTAGAAAGGCTACAATTGGGTGTTATGTAAATATTTGTTATGTATATATAAGAATATTTACTTAAGTGTTTTGGGCGACACCTGACGGTTATGCAATCTATACTGTCATTAGAATAATTGAAGCAAACGTGATTTGATGTAGACCAATTTGTGTTTATATATGTGGCTACCCCTCCTCCATATTTTTTCTTGGAACTATTTCTATCTTGGCGAAAAACTTTATATCCATTTATTGAAATTAGATTATCATCATAATGCTGGTGCAGCCAAGTCTCTTGTATTGCTAAAACGCCAGCATTTCGATAAACATTGGAATACATTAGGGATTGAAGATAGTCCAT